GCTGAGAGAGTTGGGGTTGTATAGCCTGGAGAAGAGGAGGCTCTGGGAAGACCTTATAGTGACTTTTCAGTATATGAAGGGGACTCACAAGGAAGACAGAGAAAGACTTTTTACTGGGGTCTGTAGTTGACAGGACAAGGGACAATAGTTTTTAACTCGAAGAGGTTAGTTTTAGATGGGACATAAGGAAGAAATTCTTTACTGTGAGGGTGGTAGGGCACTGGAACAGGTTGCCCAGAGAACTTATGGATGCCCCATCACTGGAGGCGTTCAGGGCCTGGTGGATGGGGCTTTCAGCAACTCGATCTAGTGGAAGATGTTTGCAATGAGATGATCATCAGAGGTCCATTCTGACCCACTAAGATGTGTCACTAACTTGTTTAAAAGCATTGGTGACTTACGATCTAATTTAAATCTCATCTCTGAAAATTCCCTGTCAAAAACTGAGGGGCAAGCATTAGATCCAAAGATAGCAAAAAAAAAAAAAAAGAAAAGTGACAACACATCTGTTACCAGGATTCACAAAAAGTTAATGCTGATAAAGCTGAAAAATAAGCAAAAAAATAAAGTGAGAGACAGTGATGAAATTGAGGTGAGCTTGCAGAAAACATACTGAAAACAGAGTCAAAACAATGAAGGAGAATTCTGATACAGGAAAGCTGCAAGGTTAACATTTGCAATAAACAAAAATTTGCCACAGGAGGGAAATGACAGAACAAATTAACATATTTTGATCACCAGGGTCAGAAGAAAACAGAATATGCAAATACTCTATTGGCAAGGCTAGTCTGGCATGACATTATCCAGCTAGAGACAGCTCTTACTGTCATTACAGTAAGTGGTTATCTTCCTCTGTACTAAATTTGTTCTGAACTGTAAAAATCTTTAAAACTCATTATGACACAAGACTAACATCGCTACTAGGTTTTGGAATAGGGAGACTCAGAAATATCAATCCACACTTGGAGTGTAAAGACCATCTGTTATTAACACTGAATTTCTGGTGTATTTTTGTTAATTTCATCTGCTTAAGTATAATCTTCAGGTTTGCTCCATTTCTCTTGTTTTTCATATTAATTCGGAACTGATTAAGGGCTCCTTTCCACAGGAACAAAGAAGCTTAAAATCCACATAAACAGTGTTATGTTAAAACAAAATATATGTCTAATACAGTTTTACTCATATGAATAATTTTTCTAGCCCAATTGTTCCTAACTCCAAACAACTTCAGAATTAAAAAAGACACTCTATATGAAAATAAAGAACATGCATGCAGGAGCTATACTTGGTATTTTCTAATATTAAATGTCAGTTTCCAATCTTCTGATATTTAAAATGGGTTGAAGCTTTTAAAGCTTTAGTCAGAAACAGGAATTAAGGTCTAGAATGGAATATCATTATTACTAAAGTTATCTTTTGAAGGGGATTCCTTCCGGAGGATTTCCTGAGTCTTGTAAAGTCAGAAGAATACCAGCAGTTACACAGATAACACCAACCCAAGTCCTTCCATCATCGGATTCCCTGACTCTTGGAGTATGAACCAACTACTGTAGAATTTACTATGTCTGCAAGACAGGAATATGAAGGGGCTCTATATCTCTACTTAAAAACTGGCAGTTATTTCCCTTCATTTACTTCGGGCTCACAGGCAGAAATTAAGGATGAAAATTTACTGACAAATCTCTCCATATCTCCTAATATTTAAAGGATGTCAACTACCTTTGCAAACATCTGCATTCCAAACACATTCTACCCAAGTATCAAGAAACCAAGGTCACTGTTGTCACCACAGTACAACGCACTTGGTATCATCTCACCTCACCTTCTAACAATGTTATAATGCAGTCGGGGTATTACTTTAAATTAACAACGAATTAATTGGTTTATCGATATTCTAGCATTTCACTACTTTAAGTTAACACTCCCCCACAGAACAGCCAAGTACTACAGCTCTAACTCTCATCAGAAATCAGTTTTCAGGATTATGTAGTGGGAGAATTTGTATCAAAGCTGAATATTTTGCATAAAATGAGATTAGCAGAAGTATACACAACATACAGAACAAACGACACATCCACCCATACATTTGTTGATAACCCACAAGTCCCACCTAATTTCCTTACATTTATGGCTAGTGCACACAGCTGGTACTGTTCTAAGGTGATGATTTCATGGTAACAAGGTTCTTGTGCCAACTTCACAATAGCATTCCCTGCAGCCAGCCTCAACCGAGACATATCAGGTTTACTGAAAAACAAGCACATGGATTATGAAGGTTAATTAGTAAAAAATGTATGTACTTATTTGGCTTAATTAAATCCCGATAAGTTTGCATTGCCAAAAAAACTTTTCTTACTTTAAAAAGTAGGAAAAGTTTCCACAGTCTTTGGTCCCTCGTTCCCCCAAGATCAACACCGGAAGTAACTTCAGATCGAAAGTGGTTTCCATGTCACCACATTTTACAGCCTATTACCTTGCCCAATAACTTAGCAATCAAAATAACCATTGAAACTTCCTAAAAGATTCTAAGTGGGTGTGAAACAGTTTTAGCTGTGCACTGGACCAGCACAGACCCTTGGAGAACTCATTTTAGCTTGTAAGACACTTCTGTTTAGCATGCTGGTTTTCCTTCAGCAAGGGGCTCCTGCCAAAGAAGTAGCCCATTTCTAGACCCCTAGCAATCATAGCTCAAAATCGATGCTGCAAGTCAACATAAAATAAGATAAAGTAGATATTGTTATAGGTGACTAGGTGAATTGCATTTTTAAGACAACAGCAGCAAGAGGCATTTAGGAAGTGAAAAAAAAAATTCAACAGGCTGAAAGTATTGTTACTTGACTTGCACACTCAAATTGCACGCCCACCTAGCAAAACATTCCAATCATTTGCTGATTCTCCTAGCAGCAGATGAATGGGCTTTTCTTGAACCTACAAACATATTTGCAAAGGTTATCAAAATATTAGAAGTGCCTTCACAGGTGCTTTGCAAACTTAATGCACACACTAAATATACACATTAAAAAATCTGGTTGGGCTTTCACTGTTCTTAAAAAATTTGCTTCAGTAAAGCCTACTGTTTCATCCAAAGAAAGGTGGAAGCAAAAAAGTGTAAACACTAATTAATTCTATTCAAAAGTACTAAGTCTAGATTTTTCCTTTGATAACTTGGAGCAGGGATCAAGTCGTATTGTTATTTAGAAATAATTTTTTTTTAAGCAGGACAAATACTGTTTAACTTAATCACTTGCCCTTTATGCTTATGAAGAGCAAACACTGTTGTCTTAAATCCATTATCATGAAAACTGTATAAAGCATTTAGTGAATGAGATTAAAAGACAGTATTAAACACACAGTGCATGATCAAAACACCTACTAAAGAGCTTAAATCTTAAAATTTATCTAATCAGGTTTTATATGCACCTCAGTATATTATGGAAATGACAACATTTAAAAAAACACCCCTAAAAAGATCATGAGCAACCAAGTGACAGGACAAAAGCTGCACTAACTTTCAAAGAAAGCATGAAGATTAACACGGTAATGCCTAAGTCTTAAATGCTAAATGTCATTGTAAATTGCATCTACTGTGATAACTGCACCCAATAAAGATTCAATTTTTGCACTTCAGTGACAACTAAGCAATAATGACTTACAAGTAGAGAGTGATTGAGCCAAAGGAAAGGATAAAATTAAGAACTTTCAATCTTCCTCAGCTTTGGTAGTGATAACATTTACTTCTGAAAATTGAATCAAAGATATTTCACATAAAAGTTGGTCAAATCTTTACATAGTGTGTGTATCCCAGAAATACCCACAAGCATGTCTGTATGGTGTGGGAAGGAAGAGGAGGACAGTGTCAGTTGTGAGTATCATTCTTACAGCTGAAGATGAAAATCAGATCTGTCTTATTTCCAAAAAGACCATTTAAAAAAGAACTTTTAATTGAGGATTTATTTTTGATCAAATTCTCATAGCCAAAAGGTTTCTGATCTGCATTATCCCAAAATACACAACTATCAAGGCTGAAATAAAAGCTTCTGTATGATAGAACTGCAGGGTTTTTATTACTTAATAATTCTGAAAATTAGTAACAAGGATAACATTGTCCAATCAGAAGCTCTCTAAGAGATACAAGAGGGACCCAGACATCTGATTTCTGAAGTGCACAGACTGAGAGATACTGGCTTTCCTTCAGGCACCTCTACCAATCACCACACTCACTCAGAGGATCAAGAGTGGCCTCACAGTAACATGTGGCAGCTCCGTCAGTACTCATGGGTGCATCCCATCAAGGACCATGAACTTACACATGTCCAGTTTGCTTAAATATGCTCTAAACTGATCTTCCCCCAGGGAAGAAGACATCCATCTTCCTTGCTCCAAACCTTCCCTGGTCTCTAGGGTCTGTCTTCAGGAATCCCAGGCCCTGTGCCACCAGAGCTCCTGCCTCATTGAGCAGCAGGTGTACGTCTTCCCTAATCTACCTTTTGTCATCTGTTCACCTAAAGCTCTTCTGGTTGCCTTGTCATCCTTCTCTGGATTCAATTTCAGTCAAGCTTTGGCTTTTTCAACTGTGTCTTAGATGGTGTTTTCTTTATATTCCTGCCATGTTACCTGACCCTACTTGCAGTTTCTGTACAGCTCATACAATCACAGAACAGTTTGGGTTGGATGGGGTTTTCAAAGATCATCCAGCCAACCTCCCCTGCAACAAGCAGGTACATCACCCAGACAAGGTTGCTCAGAGCCCAGTCCAACCTAGCCTTAAAAACTTCCAGGGATGGGGCTTCCACCACCTCTCTGAGCAATCAGTTCCAGTGTCCCACCACTCTCATCGTAAAAAATTTCTTCCTTGTATCCAGTCTAAATCCACCCTCTTTACCCCTTGTACTATCACTACAGGCCCTACTAAGAAGTCTGTCTCCATCTTTCCTGGAGGACATTAAGTATTAAAGGACCACAATAAGGTCTCCCCAGAGTGTTCTGCAGGCTGAACAACCCCAGGTCTCTCAGCTTGTCCTCAGAGCGCAGGTGTTCCATCCCTCTGATCATTTTCTGCAGCTCTCCTCTGGACTCACTCCAACAGATCCAAGTCTTTCCTGTGCTGAGGGCTCCAGAGCTGAACACAGTACCACACGTGGAGTCTCACCAGAGTAAAGGGGCAGAAAATCACCTCCCTCAACCTGCTGACCATATTTCTTTTGATACAGCCCAGGATCTGGTTGCCCTTCTGGGTTGCGAACGCACATGGTGGGGTCACTTCCAGCATTTCATCGAACAGGACCCCCAAGTCCTTCTCTGCAGGAGTGCTCTCAATTTCTCCTTTTTCGTTTTGCCAGAAGCTCCTTGCTCATGCATGCAGATCTGCTGAAATATTTGCCAGACCTTCTGCTTTTTTAAACTTAGAGATGATGCTTCAATACTAACTAGCTTTCTTGGGCCTGTCTTCCCTCCAGGGCCTTATCCAACAGGATTCTACTAAGCAGATCCTTCAAGAGGCCCAAGTTTGTTCTCCTGAAGTACAGCACTATGATCTTGCTTTTTGTCCTCCTTGCAGCCCTCAGGACTCTGAACTGCAATGTTACAGCCAAGGCTGCCTTCAATCTTCACATACCCAATAAATCCACAGTTGTTGCTATGAAGCCCAGCAGAGCACCACTTCTCACCAGCTCCTGAATCACTTGTGTCACCAAGTTGTTACCAGGGCCCTCCAGGAATTGGCTCCTTCAGCCAGTATTTGTGTGGCTGAAGTCCCCCATGAGGGCCAAGGCCTGCAAGGATGAACTTGCTTCCAACTGTTTACAGAAGGCCTCATCCACTCCCTCTTCCTGGTCAATGGGACTACAGCCAACACACACTACAATGTCACCCATACCTGTCTGGCTCTTCAATCTTAACCCACAAGTTCTCGGCTCATTCATCCACCCCTAAGCAGAGCTCCGAGCTCTAGGGCTGAAGGGCAACCTCACATGTCATTGCAGCTTTCTCCCTTCCCTGCAAGTATCCCCAACCTTCCATTAACTTTAATAATGGAGAACTGATCACATCATTATATACACTTTCCATTATTATTTATAGCTTTGAGTACAAGAAAAGTGGGAAATTTCAATTTCTAAAACATGGACAGCATAGAATCATCAGTCCAAGCATAAAAACACACCAGACCTAAAGAACTGATCTAGTCACAAACTACTGGATAAACCAATAATATGCTCCAAGCAGTTACACTGATGAGTTAAATTACTCCCACATAACCGCTGATAGTCATAGTACAGAATTTAAAACTATGGAACATTATAAGGAACTCTAAGAAAGACTACATAGTTGCTACAAAGATAATATACTACAGAATTTTCAGGTTTGCAATTCTGCACACGACACAGGTTCAAATCTGCATGATCACTAGATAACATTAAACTCTGCTTGAAAATGAAAACCTTTTTACTCATATTGGCACAATCCACCCATGCCCTTATTAGCTTTTTTAGACATACATTTTCAGTGCTTGGCAAGCAGCAGCAGCCAACAACTTCTCACTTCTCTGACTGCAGAGGATTAAGAAGATAAGCAGAAAACACATAAATTGTCTAATAACCACCTAAAAGGTAAATTACTATTGAGACTTAATCTTTTTTTACACATTTCCCTCTTCCTTTCACTTTTGGAGCTCTCCAGGGATTAAGAGCCTGCCTTCAAGTAGAAGTGCCTTATGTACCAGCTATTCCCACCTGGTTTACTGCAACATGCTATTACTTTTTATTAGGAAGTCTGCCTATCAGCCTTTGACATACACAACGACTGGTACATCAGGAAAAGCAAGCTGCATAAAAAATAAAAACCAACTTGTAGTGGGAAAAAAGAAGTTACACAGTTTACTACTGAAGTATGAGTAATTGTTCTTCTAAGACAGAGATAAAACAAAGATGATAAGACCATTAAAATACAGTTATATCTAGAGTGTTAAAAAAAAATCAAAACTTACGAAGGAATTGAACCAAGCTTACCATTAGTTCTTGCCAAATAAGATGTATGAAGTGTTATGCAGTCTAAAAGAATAGTTTAAGCAATACTTTGACTAAAACTCTCCCTATCGCGTCATCACACCAAAATGTTACCATCTGTTACATACCTAATTTTCCCCTGCTCTGTTAAATCTCCATCACTGTGTAATATTGTTGTTAGCAATCTCAGAGTAGAAGTTCCTGACTTGCTGTGGTTGTTCTTCATTCCTAGCAGCCATCGAACCATCATCTTGATGGCCTGAATCTGAAAAAAAAAATTGATAGGCAGAAGTCAAATCACACCACAAGCCCCATTTTCTAAATAATCTTAATTTAATTACACAGTATTTTCACAAGTGCCTTTTGTTGCTATGAACACAAGCCTGTCAATACAGCAAAACATCATTTAAACACTGAAAGATAACTAGACATATTCTCACTAGGCATCAACTTTTCACTGAAAGTCTCAAGCATTTATTACAGCAAATAAAAATTACACAACATTTAGTTAAAGTTTGAACTGTTTCTTCTACTAAGCAATGACATTTTGCCCCATAAAAGCATTATCTAAATTGAGCTTACATACATTAAACACCATGGAACAGGCAAAACAATTTATACTTCAGAAAATGTTACTGGATTAAAAAGCAGAACGCATTTCCATCTTCATATATTCCTCTAATTTCTGTGCTTAAACAATCTATGTATATTCTTTATTCATGTATGTAATACTTAAGTTAAATTTAAGACATCTAAATTGAAAAACACTTCATAGATATTTTGACTGGCAGAGTATCAACCTTTATTAAGATAACTCATCCTGGAAAAAAATCCACTTCTTTCACAGCTGCTTAAAGAAAAGCCTCAAAGCCTGTTACTTTTGATAACTCATCTTTTGCCAATGGAAACATCGAAGTGTTTTGAAGCAAGCTTCTGAAAGTATACAGAATCCAGCAACTATCATGAAACACTGAGTAATTTCACATTTCTTTAGTGAAAATAAAGTATTAATTTGGAAACTAAGCCATTTTTTTAGCATTTGAATCCCTCTTTCCTTTCATTTTCCTTCTATATGAGAGCAAAGACAATAAAGAAAACAGAAAGAGGATTATCCTCTTACTGCAAAATGAAAATACTCATCTGAGTCACACATTCTTGGGGGAAAAAAACAAAAAAAGAAAACCAATGAAAACAAAGAAACCAAAACACCAAACCCTGAAGTTCAAAACACAAAGTCCAAAAGCTTTGGAAAGCCTAAGACATTTTTGTACACGTTAACTTCAAATTTCCTCCTTAATGGGCAAGGCAGTTCTAAACTTTTATACAAACACTCACAATATCACATGAAATTAATCATACACTTGATCCATCCCACATAACAAACTCATGACAACAGTCCCTCTGGATTTAAGTTCTAGGATTGTCATATATTCATGAGTTTATGTATTTACTCCACCTACAGAATTCTAGTTCTACTGGGTAATACCAGCAAGAGGTAGGATGCCTGTCACTCCAGAACTCAAAAGGCACAAGGAGTATGGGGAACAGAAATGAAATTGTCTTGCCCAGCTTTCAAAGGGTCTGCCACTGACACTGCTGTAAGTATTCACCAGAAAATTTTAAATAGCACTAAACCCAAGATAACAATAATAAAATCAAAATTATGATAACTAATAACGTAAAGATGATGACAAAGATGATCATTAGCAGCATAGCAGCAGCAGATCTTCTGAAAGCTCATCAATTAAGTTTCTTTGTGTCATAACCAGTACCTGTAGCTATCAGTGCCTCCCATTTGCTGGGAGAATGAAAACATGCCACCTTTATTTGTCAAGTAAATGATGTATTCGGCCAGGGAACAGCCACTTGTTATCTAGTGCCGTGACACCTCTGGTCAGCTTCTGAGCAATTTCAATTTTAATCTTTGCTTCTCTCTTCCCCCTCCATAACTCCCTTCCCTCAACAGTACTGTCCGAGTCTACTCTTCCTTCCACATAGCAAGTCCTAATTCCAACTCCAGAATTTTCCTTTGATCCCATTATGTTCCCTGTTTCTTTAAGGGTGTTAACAATGTTGTGATGACATTCCAGCCACCCTTTAGAATTAAGCATTGGCAGGAAATGAGTACAGGGCATGAGAATCCCCTCAGTCACTGCCTCTGGCTACCTGAAAACTTAAAAACGACTCGAGTTTGCACTGTGCTCGTGTTTTTATTTTTTTCTTTGTAGCCTAATAGGATAACTATCAAAGGGTAATTCCAGCTGGAAAGAGTATGAGGTCTCCAGTCCAATCCCTCTCTCAAATGAAGGTCAACTATGAATTCAGATCACCTTGGCCTCAGTTGTATCCACTGTGGTTCTGACAGCCTCCAAGAATGGGCATTGCACAGGCTCTTTTGGCAGCCTCTTGCAGCCCATTCCATTGCCTGACTGCTCTCAGGTTTTTTTCCTTACATCCAGTCTGGAACTATTGATTTAATTTGCACCCCATGAGCCTAGAATTCTCCTCCAAGATTAAAAGTTATTACATGTAACATGAAAATATTGAGAAAATCAAAATACACACTGGTCAGAACCATATCAAAGGCCATAGGTAACTGCTTTGTACTCAGCAGCACAACATGAACTACATGTATTTGAAGTGCAAGCGAAAAAGTGACTGAACATTATGTTTTCTCTGGGATGATCACAGAATCATAGAAATAATGAATATAAACATGACAGATTTCTGATTTGTCATATAAGAAAACTGTGGTTAACTACTAGCTTTACATAAATTGTCAGCAATGAATAAGAACTAGTTTTTAAGATTAAAATTAACAATTAAAAACAATCAACGGATAGTTATAACGCCTTCCTCTGATCACAAGGTTGTCACCATGCTTCCCCTGTAGAAGTATCACAGGCTGCCATCCCATGCAGCGACCTTGGAAACGCTGTCTTCCCACTACACCAGCGTAATGACAACAGCCAGCTCAGGTTAACCGCCTGAGTTTTCAGAGCCACAAATGCTGCAGGTTTGTGCAGTAGTGAAAAATGAAAGAATGCCTCCTTAAAGCCCATTTAGGGAAACAGAATGAGAAACCTTTTATTGCAGCGCACATAGAAGGAAACAAGAAATATCCCTGTTGCTACACAAGTCTCAATCCACTGCACGGTGCACAGACGTATTCACTACTCATCACTCGAGGGAGCTGACTTCTTTAGAGCAGACACTCAAGTGCCAGACGTAAGAATTCAAGTCTCATTCATGCCATAATTAATCCAATTCATATGTAATACTGTGCCAAAACATTTCTCTATAGACATAATTTCATTTAAGGTTTCGCACCCAAACTAAGGCTAGCCTGCATGAGTCTGTACCTGTTAGACGGGACAGTACTAAAATTTTGTCTTCAGCAGTCCTTCTGCTTTTCATACTTAAACTGGCTAGTCACAAAGGGAGAAAGTGGCTTTTAAAAGTAGAGTGAAGAAAAATACACTGTCAGAGACAAATCGTTTCTAAACTAATGGTGTGGCCTGCAGCGTTCATTAGAGGCTTCTCAGTGGTAATAAATGCTAATTAAATTTGCAAATCAATTTTCACAATAACCTGTTTTCACTTGCCAATAAATGCTTTTTACAGTTTTTGGGCTTGGCTTCAACTTTAAATTGCCTTAACATTTTCTGTAAACCAATTCCCTTCCAAATAGTTAGTTTTAAGAAAAGTTTTGTGAATAGAGAAGCACATTTCAGAGTCATACAGCTTCACAAACAGTTTAAAAAAAATCAAGGAAAACACTACTTCAGTGATTATACATGTAACTCGAAGTCATGTCTATTTTAAACTAGCACTTCATGAAATCAAAACAAATGTGCCTTTTTAACAGTTCTTGGGAGTGTACTCTGTAACTATGGAATTGCACAAATACAAAACAACATCCATGCTGTAGTCAAAAGAATAAAAAACTAACAAATCAACTCCAAACCAACTGAGTATTTCCAGTAACGAGTTCTGTACCAAGGTGGAACCTAAAGTACTTACTAACCCAGCAGAGAAGGAGGTATGCGGTGAAGCATTTAAAAACTTCAACAGAGAAGGCAAAAAACCTTTTAAAACCATCAGAGCAACTTTATTCAAAAGGCAATGGAAATTAAATGACTGCTATAATTAACTTAGAAAGAGCATGTTACAAAGTACATGCATCTTTCTAATTCTGAAAGAAAATGTGAAAGCATAACCTATCCCTCTTCTGAAGAAAGGGCAAATAAAAACAAATACAGACATAGGATGTATTTTCCACAGTATAAGTCTATTTCTGATTGAGTGAAAAATTTAGTGAGAATATCTATTACCAAGTCCAGAAAATGTAATAATAAATTTACATCAAATAAAGAACAAGCTTGAGGTGACATTTTAAAGTTAAAAAAAAAAAAAAAATCCCAAAACACACAAACAGCAAAACCCCAACCATTTTAAAGTGATTTTTTTTTTTCTTAAGTCCATGTTTTTTCCTCTAATACACACCATACACAAAGAAAAGCAATATAACACATTTGTTTGGGGAAACTGATAAATCCAAACCCATTTTCTTCTGTATTCCAAAACAGAACTGAAAATTTCTTAGAATGTCCTAGAAGTTCAAAAGAAAAAGGGAAGACTTAAAATACCATAGAGGCTTTGTTTGAACTCCTATGTTAAACAGGAGGGAAAAATAATTTAACCATGATATCTGGAATGCTTAATGGCTGCACACCAAACCCAAGCTACAATAAAAATTCAATAAAGTGTATAAGAAGATTTATTTGCAAATATAAAAAAGTAGGTGCTCCCCAAACCAAATCCAAAAATGTGTATTTTAATACAATCTTCATTTTAAAAATAGTTCCTCCTTTTTTACCTTTTAAAAGGTGACAAGGAAACAGAGAAAAGCAATTGACAGCTTTAGGAATCCAAGAATTTACCTTCATTATTATACACACAAACATAGGAAAAATTTAGTAGGTGCTACTTACTTTAACAAGTGTTTCAGGAGACACTTCTTCATCCGGGACCCAAAGCTTTGTTGTCTTTTTTCCTGGAAGCTAAACCAGAAGTTACATTTTGTTACACTGCTGTTACCCTTCAGTGCAGCCTGCTGTAATCTGCTCCTTACTGTTTGCTTCCGAAAACAATCCAGCAGCACTCCCTGGTTAGTTACCTGCAAACTACTGCTCCAGAGTATAACAGTCGCTGTTTCGAAAATATTTTCCACTTTCCATAGCCACTAAATTAAAACCTCAAGTGCATCGTTTTAGACAGTAATTCTTACCCTAAGCAATGGCTGATAATGCACAAATATTTTTTTTGCATTTGATAATCACTATCAATACAGAAAAATTAGAAAAAAAAATTGATAAAAATCTCAATTCACAGCATTCCATTTAAACAGAAGCTTCAAATGTGTTATACTTCCTATAAGAATCATCACTTGCTTGCTCAAGACAAGAGATTGAGTGAATTCAATACTAATATTCCCATTTTTACCAGAAAGCAAGTCATAAGTGATCAGCAGCTGTGCTCTATACAGGCCCGTGGCTTTTGCAGAACCACCAAACAAGTACTCTCTCCTTTCCTGCACCGTGGGTTTTCAATTGAGTCAGAGAGAAAATCAAAAGAGAACAGTACGGAGAACCAACAAGCACAAAGTTTTCGCAAGGACTTGCTGAGTATCGTACTACAAGAGAAGCACCATCTTAATACAAGGATTTGAAAACACTTACCCTATCATTCATTAGCAAATCTTTAACGATGAAAGTGGCAACCAAAGATTTCAAAGGAGCAGCAAACTGATCAGGTGCTAGCATGGCTATATGGCCAATAGTAACCAACGGCGTAATGAGGTGCTCAAAATTGCTTGGATCCAGGCTTTTATGCAGTGGCTACAATGAAGGCAACAAAATCAAGAATTACTAATATAATCCATGTCCTGCTGAGGGGAAGGATGTTAAGAGTTCTCTACTAAGTTGTCTGCGTCTATTCCAGAAATACAATTTTAAAAGAACTATTAACTATTGAGATTTCAAGACACATTCACCAACCTTACAAGTCAAAAGAAAAATTAAGAAGAAAGACAAAATGTTTATCACATCTGCGTAGTTCAAAAAGTAGCAGCTCAAGCAGGTCCATTTAGGAAATAATGGACTAAACGGTATTTTTTTTTTTTTTATCAAAGTGGGCATATCACACCTCAAGATAGCAATTTCAGTAATGAAATACAATTCAGCCTTCAAGACAAAAGGCTGATGGGCACTGATTAAAAAAAAAAAGTGCAGCTGCCTTTATAACTATTTAAATGGTTTCTACCATAATTAAGTTTTCCTATAACCATTTGAATACTTTGAGCCATTCCCAATAGGGGTGAGGAGCGCTGTACAGTTCCTCTTTCCATAAATAGTTCATGATTCCAGCAGACAGTTCAACAATTTTATTTTTTTTTTGCTCCATCATCTGTTAAAATACATAACCCTACACATGATGGATCACAGGATATAAAAACTCCCTCCGTCACCATTTTTCAGGCCAAACTGTATGAGAACAAAAGGAAAGGGAAAAAAGATCTTTTCTAAATTTGGTACAACTTGCCAAATAAGTTGCCGCTACATTCCTTAGTTTACATACGTAACATAAAGATTAAGAAAAATGAACGTAAATTATTTTAATGTTACCTCAAATATCTGTGCAAATTGAGTTTCTTTGCTGGAAAATATTGCATGGATGCAGTGAATAGCATACTTGGCTTGACGAGGGGGTCCCTTTTTAGCTTTATGATGCAACACTGGAAGCAAAGCACTTTAAAAAAAAAAAAAAACACAAAAAAAAGGTAAGTACCTTTTCACAAATTATAGCTCTAGCAAAACACTGACCTAGCAAAAAAAGTACAGATACGCATATACAGAACACAGCACCTCGGCAAAAGTGCTCATTATCCTGGTTTGGGGAATTCCTTCAAAGAAAGAAAAAAAGGGTTAATTCATATGCCTTGCAAGTAAAAAGCCCCTGGATTTTGTTGATAAAAATATTATGTGGCAAAAGAAACATTTTTTCTGCACAAATTAGCAAATGTTCTTTTGGAAATATTCTTGTTTATGCATGCCCATAAAATTCCAAAGAACACTTTTACATTGCCATATATTTCATTTCGGAAAAAGTGTAAGTAATTCTGAAGGGCAATGATAAAAACGATAGTAGTAGCAGACATGTATCAATTGCCACTGCTTCACATATATTCATTTCACTTTCATTACTCAGAACACACTGCACTTTAACGTCATTTGAGATCTTTTCTGTTTTACCTGAAGTAACGCTTTCTTACAAAAGAATGCAGGATAATGCTATTGTAATGCAAAAGGAAGAATGAGAACTTACAAAATCCCATACAGTAAAGAACATTACTCAGACAGAATAAGATATACAACTTACGATCGTATATGAGGAAAGTCTTCTTCAATTTTACTTCCTGTGTTTTTGAAAATTTGTAATGCAGCTTCTGCCACTTTTTCATCATCCATCTTCAAGCATGCCAGGAGAGATTCAAACGTTTCAGCTGAATGAAATGAGATAGGGTGCGTAAATGAAAGTACCTGCCAAAATAAAATAAAAGCCATGTTAATATTTTCTAAAGGTCCACTTACATAGAACATTCCATCAAGAGTCATTTTCCGCTGCCATACTGGAATATTTATAATACTCTGCCTGGTTGTGTCACATGATCCACATTTCATCTGGGTTTTTTTAGTACCTCCTAAACTTCCTCTTTTTTCTACATGATCTCATCGGTTTTCACTTATTTTTCCAGTCTCAGTTTCTTCTTCTGTTATTGTGACCATGTACATCTACATTAGCAAGTACTGGGCTAGAGCAGAAGCAGATCTTAAGAGAAATACAACTTATGCCAAGGAAGCAATATTCACATTTTGCAGGTTTTACTTCAGACTGTTTCTAGACTGACTGAACCCACTTCAGCCACTGCAACGCACGTGCTTCTGAAGCCTATTTCATAGTTTTGTTTCTCTGAAAGGAATCCAGCTTGTGTGCCCCAAGGCTTCATGCTTGGTTGCTAAGTGGAACAGCTGGTTGTGCTCTGAAGTTCCTACCTCTAAAATAGTAATATAGACATACCCAGTAGGGTCTCTAATCCCTCAAGCTTTCCACAGCAGCTTATCAGATCCTGTATTTCTCCTTCATATTCTTGGACTCTGTTTTCAAGTACGACAGTCCTCCCAGTTAAAAGAAATCCTCATTTGATCATCTCTGAAAATTTTCCTTCTCTTCATTTTTAAGTGTCTGTTGATTATCAGCCTCATTCCATATAATATCCTGACTCATGGCAAAGAAATGATCCTCAAAATCTAGAAACTTCTTCATACAGTTTTCTATTTTCACCAAGTTACCCTCATCCTCACTTGCTTGTATGACATTCCCTTTTCTGGGTTCCTGCATTTGTCATTTCTGGATTCTTCTCATGATGTACATACCTCTGTTGTTGTTCTTTTAAGTCTCTGAAGCCCGTCCACAACTACTCCCAACACCATCACATAACTGAGGTGGTACAATGGCACAGGTATCTTTCTGTGCAATTTCAGGTAAAGCTGACACACTACATAGTCTAAAGTCTTTGGGAAAGATCAAGTGAGACAAAAAGCTTTCCGTAGTTGCATTTAAGAAGTTTCACTCTTCTAACCAAATTTATAAATAACGCAGTGACCAGCCCTTTTCCTCCTAGGAAAAAGGGAGTACAGCAGAAAAAAATTTCTACAATGTCCCCAGAAATGTATCTTGATGGGATCTGCTATGTAACTGAGTCTCAAACACTACACAGCTGAAACTGGTAAGAGCCCAATTTATGAGGAACTCCAAGGAACCACAGTATTGTACTGCTACGCAGGCGCAGTTCCAGAAGTAGTATAACTATATTCGCAAACCACTGAATTTAGACTCTACTCACCTGCTGCCACATACACAACTACTACTGCCTTCCCAAAAAGTTTATAACCTTACTTACATGCCACGTTAAAAGACCATAGAGAACAACCCAAACCAGTATTCTTCCACCACACGCTTACAACTGAAGACACTGAGTGCTAATTAAAAATTTATTTTAACAAGAGTTGCTTTAGGAAGTTCACATGCTCACTGACCACCAGGTGGATACTTGCCTTAAGCAATTCAAGACCTGCTCTGATTGCCTGGTCAGTAGGTACACCCTCATCTTCATCATCAGCTGTTCCATCTATAGACTTGTTTACTTGCTTGATAAGGGCACTGAAGGAGGGAAACAAAACACAGCCTTGTATTTACTGCAATTCCACCATGTGTGACAATTTCCATAAGTTTAAGATATAATGTTATTAAAAGGAACTTAAAACATAAACCATAAACTTGCTACAAAACAACTAAGTCAACTACGTATATAATCTGGTTGTCTTCATCTCCTACCTAAATCAGAGCTTATGAAGCATTAAGTTCCAAAATGTTTATCTATCATTAATTAAGAACTTATACACAAATTGCTCTGGAAGCATGACCAAACTAATGAAATCATTCAAGTATTACAAGCAAGAAATTCAGGTAAGAACTGTGGTGAGGTTACTGCTGCTATGGATTCTTAGTAATTGATGGAGAATAACCCTTTACAATGTTTAGTACATAAGCAAGAGAAAAAAACAAAACAAAACAAAAACATTAAACAGCTGTGCTAAGGGTTCATGAAAATTTTAAAAGATCTATCTCCTGCATATTTCACCTTGACAGTTATGCTTGTTTATTTTCTTACGTTGCACCCTAGGAAAGGAAAGGGTGATTATTCAAATTATCCTGTAGTGAGTAGTATAGACAGCGTCCTTATCACAAACTGAACAACATACAGATTATTCCTTCAGCACATCCTGTAAATGATATTTTTAGCAAAAACAAAACAAAACTCCAAAACCACTCCACCAAAAAGAAGAACAACTTAGAGTAAAAATCAAGAGATCTCCTAGCCAGACTTCCCAGGCTTCCAAATATTTATTTGTCTGCTACTAATTGGACAAAAAAATACCATCTAAAAACCAAAATAAAACAATAAAAAAACCACAGTCTGAGTCTCACCAGAAATGAGGCAGAAGCTTATTGAAATTCTACAAAGATAGAAGACTAATTCTGTGGCAAAACTGAAAACATGTGCTTTTTACTACTTTTTTTTTCCTTGTACAGAGTATGGCAGTCGGTCAATAGGTAGATTGTGAAATTTTACAACTTCTTGCCACATGTGAATATTACTTTTAATATACATTTTATATTGCTTCTGCCAATATGCAAAATACATTTTCAAACTTTAAGTAAAAATCCACCTACACGTTGTAGTTAATCCAAGATCAGAAAGCAGTTTTTAAGTGAAATCTCAGTGACTCCATTATATATACAATTCATTTTTCCCTCTCCCATAACTCCACTGGCTTATTCTTCCTTAAAGTCTTGATGCCTCAGCATCATAATCTCTACTTCCTTGTTACTGTTTATGTCACTATGAGCTAATATTCTGCATAGAAAGTTTCAGTGAACAGCCACAGACAAAAATTACTTTTAAAATAAGTCAGTTGGACACAAACCAAACTTTGCCGATCAGCAAGAGATCCATTTTTATTGACAGGTTGTCCCAGTTGGGCTGAGCGGCTACGCAATTGCTTCTCTGGCTATATTCTGAAGGACCTCCAAAAAAAACCTCAGCAAGGGGAAATGGAAGAAAATGCTGCAGGTCACCAGGCCTTAAACTGCACCTGCCTGACCCGTTACTGCTTGTGCTTAAAGGTGAAATAAGAAACAGTGATTTCAAATCCCATGATCTACGACCAACACCACACATACACACACACACACATACCTGATGGATTCAGTATCAATGTGCACAGGAGCAATTCTCTCAAGAAGAAACTTTATCATTTCCAGGAAAGGATTTGTTGGTTGTTTTGGATTGCCTAACTTCTTTGTTATTTCCCTCTGCAATAAAAGTTTCAATTAATTTTATAATCAATTCAGTTCCAAAAATATTCATATATTTTAAAGACAATTCTTACCACACATCCTTCAGCCTGTTTGCAAGAACATGTGGGGCTAACAAGCATTTCTAACTGACTTCTTATTTTTTCATCATCTTCTAGAACCTGTGTAAACTTTTTCATGAAATCTTGAGCTTTCCCTGGATCAGGCAGGTTTCCTTTAAATAAGCAAAAGAAATCACTACTTACTTTAATAAGTATCAGTATTGTAAATTACACAAGCACGAAAAGTTATACCAAGAAAAGTTCCTATATATATTTAAGTTAACCCAGAATGGTGGGAAAAAAAACCAAAACCACAACCCAAACCCAAATAAATAAACCACAAAACACTTTTATAAATATAGAATTATACATGACAACACCAATTTCTAAAAATCTGCGTACCCACAGACCTCCCCTGGCTATTGGCTTCCCTCACCCTTCATAGTCGTTTAAGCAAGTCTAGGTGATCTCGCTGATAATATAAACAGCTGAAATTGACCTCTGAATGCACAGTCTATACCTCACAGAAAAATATACTCTGTAAATAAATCACCTGATATGACAAGTGTGAAAAACATCAAAAGGGTACTTTTGCTAAATCACTCTATCACTCTTTCACTAAACATAAACTATACAGCAGCTTGCAACATTTAAAAAACAAACACTTTCAAAATGCATTTCTTAAACTACATATAAAATTCATATTTACATTTTATAGCAAGAAAATTTATTGGCAGAGTATTAGTACATTATTTAAGGTGTTTCATGCTTTTGGTACAGCAGGTGTTAAGCACAGTTGGCACAGAGAATAGTACAGGGCTAGAGATAGTTAATTCAAAATAAGTTCTACCAAGTATTTGTTTTACTGTATTGATTCTTTTGTTTTTTAAATGCAACACAGAATTAAAAGAATCAAAAAAAATAATCACAAACTGATCAACTTTTATACTGCAAACAAAAGGAAAAAATAATTTGGAACATGATCAAGTAGCAAGATTCAGATTTTTCTCCATATTTTTCAAAAAACGTACATAGCCTTAAGTAGCATCTCTTTTCTGCCAGAACAAAAAATGCTGATTTATAAACAAAATTTCAGAATCACAGAGTAAGTTTTACTTCTTCATACTGGTTTTAACACTACTGGCAGGTGGGCTGCAGGGAACAAGAAGTGTTGCTTTGGGATCAGTGGTTTGTTCTTTGCTGAGAGTTCAGGCTATGTACAAGTCCCAAGTGCCTTCCCTACTACTTAAACCCAAACTCTTTTGCATTCTCCCAACAACACTTAAAATACCAACAGCTCCAAGTCAGCTAAATTAGTTGACAGTTTTGTAGATTAGTTAACATCTAACATCCTAGATCCATCTAGATTTTGAATTAGTGCAAAACAGATGTAGTCAAAATGCACATAATAAGCTTCACGACTGGAGACTTCTTACACTAAGTAAGTAATGCTGCTTACAGTTGTCTTAATTCTTTAAAGCATATTATTACATCATGTTGATCATGATTTTTTAATGTTTTGTTGATAAGTTTTATCTGTTACAAAACTTTTTTATAAGCTTATCTCAAATGATTTTTAAAACAAGAAAGCAATATAGTTCAATCATAATTTTTAGACAGTGTAAATACTTCTACTGACTTACTTGTTATGACCATCACTTTTGAGAATATAGCTTTACTGCTGGCATCTGTCTGCAATTCACAAAAGAAAAATGGATTAAGTAAAAATTTTACATTATGTATTTCCACTTGAGTACCATGTGAGCAAAATTCCATAACACATTATCAGCAAGTCAGCACCTATTTTGCTAACACACCAGTGTGTTAAAAATCAAAACCAAAACCAAAATGGAAATTAACTCTACCTTACAGGACTCAAACAATGATGTCAACACATACAGAATCTCTGTATTCACACCTCTTGTGACTCAGAAGAAAAATACCAAAACTGTACCGTAGAGTTTCTTTGTTTCTGACTGATTTGGCCTTCTAATCCTGGCTAAGTCTTCAAGTACTGACTAAAGCTACCATTAAAATGGACTTTAAGTTAAGCAAGCTGCTAATGATTCAGGCAAAAACGAAATAACCCGAGTCAGAAGTATTCTTTTAACTCCTAGTAGTATAACCCCATCAAAAACCAGCAGATTGAAGAAGATTAAGAAACATTTCTTTTTAGAAGTTCAACTGTGGTGCTTTACCTACATTATCTTACGATATGGAAGCATCTGCAGCAAATGAAGCTTATATCCTAATACAGACAAACCAGCACTCACCCACTTTTCTGCATGTGAACAGGGAAGTTTATGCATTTTATTTAACTGTATACCACTGCTGTAGAAGTAAAAGAGAGGAACTGGGATTTATGCTTTTGTTCTTCCAAAACTCATCCTAAAGGCAAGTGTGATGTCTGTCCTATCTCAGATTAGAAGAAATTATCATCAACTGAAAATTTGTCAACACCTTTTCAGTCTCCTCCATAGTGCTTGCACTTGGGGAGAGCCTGAAGAGGAAAAAAGGAGAGCATCTTAAGAGTTTCACTAAACGGCAAAAAAATTTTTCACAGATGAAAAAAACAGTGGGCTAGAATGTTCAAAGATTTATAATCACAGAACAATGTAGCTTGGAAGCAATAACTGTAGGTCATGTGGTTGAACTGCTGACTCGAGGTATGACCAACTTAGGTGAGCGTTTGCTCCAGACCTCATCTAGTTGCATTTTAAATATTTACAAGGATGATTTCACAACTTGTCTGGGCTACCTATTCCCATATTTGATCACCTTTATTGCAATTTTTTCCCCTTACTATCTAATCAGTTTCCTTGTGGTAACTTCTGAACACTGCTTCTTGTCCTATCCCTCTTCATCTCTGTGAGCTCTCACAATGCCTACGCCTGCCATGAGGACAACCTCTACAGGAGAGCAAATCAACAATTAAGCTATAACAATTAAGTGGAGAAATTACATCAGAGTGAAAAAGCATATACGGTAACACACAAGTCATATTCTGGAAGGTAAACTAGTTCATTTCAGTTTTGTTTCCTGAAAGGAAACAAAAGTTTCTAGAGTTCTGAATGGCTACTGGATCTCTGTCTTAGGATTGCTACTGCCTTGAACTGTGTGCACCTTACAATTATGAAAATAAATAATTGCATTCAATATGAGTTCAATTATATGAATTAATTACCAACATGGAGAAAAAAATAAACACAGCAACGACAAATACATACAAGAAGCACCACAGAAATAAAAGTGTTTGCATTGGCAATAGGCACAAAGAGCAGGGTTTGGGATAGCAAAGGGCTGTGGGGTGACCTGTGCAGGAGGAGATCAGGGCCTGCCTGGCACCTGGTAAAGCTGCTTCCAGCTCGCTCTGCAACCCACCAAAACTCAACCAGTCAGAGGAGCCTATGGTGCCTCTGAGAAAACATATTCAGGAGAGGAGACTCTAAAGGGACTGTGGCCAGTGGAAGAACCCACATGGGAACAGTGGGTAAGAAACAAGGAGCAGCAAAAGGAAAGGAACCACCAGGCCACGACCCCCATCTCTGCTGCCATCGCCTCAGCAAGGGCACCGAGCACGGAGCGCGGCGAGGGGCCTGGTGACCATGAAGCGGGGAAGAGAGGTGTCCGAAGGGCAGGCAAATTCTCATTTTCCAAGTGTGTATTTGTTCATTATTTATTACGGTCTTGAGAAATAAAAATTAAAAATTCATGTCACTTGACAACAAGCTAACTTCAGTAAATGCCTGGACTCCAAACAGTTCTGTTGCCCACCGTGCCACAGCACCTCGGGCTATCACAAGCCCCCTAAACTCTCCATTGTGCTCCGGTTCCTCAAAATGAATATCCAGGCACAGGAGGGAAGTTGCATGGGCAAAGGCAAACACATCACCAGCATACACTGCTTTGAATGTGATGCTCTACGCTGGCATCTACCGAAATCTACATGTTTAATTCCGTATTATATTTGATCATTTTACAATTGGAAAAGAACTTTCATTACACGTCCTCGAGAGTAAAAGTTAAAATTCCACTTTGAACTGAAATGCAGAAAACACCATGAAACTAACTCAGGTTTTAAATGTGTATCTAAACTACACCAAAAAATGTAAAATAGGACACGAAAAAGATTTCAATAAAGTCACTGAAACACAGTGAAATATTGTTTTACTAGCAATCACTGCATTTTAAATTTAATACAACGTTATCACGTTTTAAATGTGCAAATGCAAAATGATGAATTTCACTGCCATCGGGACTGAAGCAGTAAGAGATTATATTATATATTTCATTTGATAGGCCTTGTCTGCAAAACAGCAGCATTTCTAAGCAGATACATTCCATCATCATCTCAGTTACACACTCTGCCCAGTTCAGGTAATTCCAGCAAATGTATAATTCGGTCATAAAAATTCATTAAATATACTGTGGTATATGAATATATACACATATAGAAAATAAATCACAGTAGTACATGAATGTGAGCAAGGCAATACATTCTACTATATATTATTTCTGTTAAAAAAGCATCAGATTAAACTCTTGGCATTAAAAGCAAGTTCTAATCGCATTCCAAATTATATTCAATATTTAAACATATGGCTTCCTCTGCCCCCAAACACGAGTAACTAAAATAAATCTAAATTTAGCTATGAGAATATCCTAAATGCTCAGTAACTGTTTAACTTCTGAGCAAATTTGTGAACAAAGACTTCAACTGCAGTCTAGTATCTCCAATACAACATTTAAGAAGTTTCCAAGAGGGAAGAGAAAGAAGCAACCTGTTAGGATAAAAATATTCCAATTTTCTGAATGTTACAAATCATACAAAAGGTGAGAAGTTAGGGTATATAGGTACTTTTCTTAATTACTCAATTTGGCAGTCAAAAATAATTGTCTGTCTTTCCCCTTCTTTCAAGAGCCAGAACAATCCCTCAAACAGTGGGAGTAAATATTTTAGTATCCAATAACTGGCAAAATCTTTTAAAGACTTCTGTAACATCCCTTCCTCTTCAATTTTACTAAAAAAATATTTAAACATTTCCTACTGCAAGTGGCCTAATGGAGCATCAGTTTACTTTCACAATATTTTCTATTTGTCATTAAAAATAAGCTTGAGATAGTGAAACAAATAGAACTAAAAATAGTATTTTCCATAAAAATGCATATTCACTGTTGAATAAAGATAAACTGAACTCACTTTAGGCTGTTTTATTAGGTCGACTAAATCCTTTACTTGATGTCGTAGCAAATTTTGACATTTCCACATTTCATTCAAAGCCTAAAAAAAAAAAAAAAAAAAAAAAGATAAGAGTTGTCAAAATCATCTATTCATTACATAACATCATTGGCCAAGAAGAGCCTTTAAATTCTTTTCAACTTCAGACTCATAAATGTGCTTATTCCCTGAACTTTGATTGCTAAGTGAGCAAAGGCTAAATGCTTCCTAAATGCTTTCCGCAATGTAGAAAATTTAATTGGTCATATTAGACTGAAGCAAAGTGAGATTTTGAAAGAAGTTTCATTTCGGATGCTTAACAATATTGCCTTTAAAAGAAGTAGGAAATAACTGATAAAAACTCATAAAGAACTCATTTGTATAAGCCTGGAATCACTCTTGTAAAAACATTCCAAGCAGCAGGGTAAATCAGATATTTTAAGATTTTTATCATCAAAACAATGTTTTTCTTGCACACAAAAAGCAGCTACTGGATGAATAAACTGTGTAAAGTGGACACGATAAGACTTGTAAGAGACGCATTAGAGGTATTTGAGAAAATTGAAAAATCAGCACAGTTTCCAGGAAAAATAAGCCACACGAATTAAGAAAGCCAGAGCTTCAGTTCAAAAACTTCCAGAATCCATAAGAAAAACAACTCATTTCTATGTCACTGAACACACTGCATCTTTAAAACTAGCACTGCTGCATGTGAAAACTGTAGAACTCAGAAGTTACTTGCTGTCTGAAATAACAAGTATTGAAAAGAATCCATCCCGCATTTCTGTTTAGCCTATACTAAAAATGACTAGAGCAGTAACTTATTTTTCAAATACTCTTTAATTTTCAACTGTAATATCCTGAGACAAGTAATAAAAGAAACGCAGGGGATTAAACCATCAGTTTATGTACTATTTGAAGGACTTAGGATTTTTTAAGTCACTCCTTCATATATAAAGCTCTTACTAGACTCCTCCATGAGAAAAAAAAACAACAAAAACCCACAAACTGTATTTGATTTTCAAGTAACTAAGTACTACTAAAGACAAAACAAAGGAAAACTAACTGAATTCAAACAAACTGTGAGCATTACAGCAGTAGAACTGTTATTAGTCAAATTCACACACATGTGCCTGCCTGTTTTAAGCTGGAGAGGGCCTGCAACATAACGAAATGAAATGCATACTGAAGGCGAAAAGACAAGTAATTCTTTCCCACTCTTAAGGCACCCTGGATGCTACAACAAGGAGTATATTAATTGAGAAGTTGTCAATAAAATCTAGGGCTGGTCAACACCACTATCTAGGCTCTCTCTTTTCAGACCTAAAAGCATTGACATGTACTCAAGCCTCCTTCAAGATCTTTTGACGCTACTTTTTTCAGTTGTTTATGTCTGAAAGGTACCACACCTTGTTATAGAACACCCTAACGAGGGTTGTTTTAACTTTTTTTCCGCCAAAATCTCACTTGAGAAATAGATACTATTGCTCTGTTCTGTTTCCTGCTATTTCGTAAACTACTGTCATCCACTGGCTTAGGGTATTGATAACAATTTAGAACTAAATTACAATATTTGTATTTAAAAGTATTTTGCAAGAAGTCACAGCACATACTTCACAGCATTTGAATCCAATGTTGCATAAAGGTAATATAGACATTTCATGCGTTCGTTGGTTTCCAAGTTGTGAGGGACCATGTACTGAGCAAAGATGCGCTCGACAAGTAATCTGAAAGACAGGATTAAGAAATTTAAACGGTAAAAGCAGTGGCCTTGACTTGCTAAAACATTCAAAAATTCTCATATTCATCTAGAGACCAGTTCTTGCACTTTAAGACAAGGTTATTCAAAAACCTAAAGGTTGAGTTACTTAACTTCCAACATAACTCATCTCGAGCCAAACAAAAATATATCATTACAGATTATTTAATGTTAATTATGGCAGTAGGAGATTTAAGTGATCACACTACCAAAATCAGATGTATTAATCTAGGCAGGAACCAAAGGCTTTTAGAGTAGGATATCTCAAATCAGCCAAAAGAGATGCTATCAGGGGGTGTCGTTACAGGTCAGTATTGGGACGAATTAATGAATTGACCCAAATTAATGGGCTTAAAATAAAAAATAAAAAATAAAAAATAAATTTAAAAGAAATACCATGTTGATTGTATCACACATGAAGTCCAAAAGGAGAATCCAAATACTACTCAGAAGGAGCTGAGTTCCCTCCCTGAGCCCTTCCCCAAGTGCTGAGTTTACCCAATTCTTTTGCTTTCACAAGAAAAATGCAGGTACATTCACAAGGGAATTATTAAAAGGTTCTGCTATAACATGGAAGCTCCTTATTTGGAAGCAGCAGAAGAGAAAGATTTAGGTCTTCTAGTTATCTAGGAAAGACTCTGAAGAAAAAGCAAAAGGAAAACTGAGCCCATGTTGCAATCTTAAAACCCAAGACATTGGCAAATGGAAGTCAACATTAACAGAATAGAGTAAATAGGTAAAAAAAAAATTATGTATATGCAGGCTAGAAAAGAGAAGAAAATCCTCATGCACAACTGGAGCAGGTGGTCAACACCCAAAGCCAGTTAGTATAAAAAAAATCCTGAAATTTAAGAAAAATGCACGTGGCTAAGACTGGAACTGAAGATTCAGACAGTTTTGCCCACTCTCATGGTACCACAAAGTAACTGATTACTTTGAAAATGATTCTGAGGTCACGATTTTTGGAAGAAATTTGTATGGGTTTGCAATGTCATTTGTATCTGAATGTGTTGTGAAGGCCAAATGCTTGGTTCCAAAGCCACCAAGACAACCTTGGTTAGTCAAGCTAGACTAGTTCCCAAACTAGTCTCCCATGTGCAATCATCTGTTTTTCAGCATGAACAACCATATACAAGGCCATAGGTGGTACGACAGAGGCGCTGTTTTTACCAAAAATCCAGGACAAGGTTTTAATTCACAGCCATTATAGTACAGAAAAGCTGTTGTCACAAGGTGTACTAGACTTACCTTTAAAGCATACAAATCTAAAGCAAGATCATTAAAGCAATCTTACCTACTGAATTTTAACATCAAAAATAGTAAGCTACTAAACTATAAACAAAAGTCTCCATTACTGAAGCACTGGTAAAGTACAGGTAAAAATTCTGAAACATTTCAATCTATCTCATCCTTTAAAATCACTTCCGGCCTTAAAAAAAAAAAGGAGAAGAAAACCACACAGGACAGTATTTGGTTGCAGCTGTATAAGATTACACACTGGATCAAAACCAGACAGAATTATGAAGTCTCCTCCTTACTGTCAGCATTTAAGCACAAAGGAAAAACAAATCAGCATAATAAGTTTCCACCCTTATCCACAGACTCATCTAGCATTCATGACTGACTTACCGGTCATCAATACTGTTCTGATAATATATATGCAAAAGTTTATCTTTGATCCATGATATCTGTTTTGCAGCTTCTTTTCCTGCTTCCGACTGTAATGAGTATTTCTTGTATATCTGTGCAAGTCCCATCATAGCTTCCTTCCTCACTCTCCACTTGAAAAAAAGAAATAGTACCCAGTTTAGCTGTTCAAAACTCAAAACCACTGCATAATTTCCTGACAACTACTTCTTTGTCTACCCCCAAAAATTTAATTTACAAAAAAGTTAAATTGTGTTCTAAGTGTAACGCTTTCTCATTAGGGCATATATTACATCATATCTAATACACTAAAGCTTTCAACATCAGTAACTGCTACGCAAACATGCGTCTTGAATTTAGAATTGTTAAAAATTTAAGCGAACACCTTTTCTCACTGTCTATACTGAATATCCGCAATCGTAACACAGGTGTAACAGAGAAAAAAAAAATGTTACCAAATGAAAAAACCCAGATGATTATGTTTATTTTAAAAGTTTGCCATCAACTGTGCTTTTTATCATGCTTTGACATAAGAAGCAAACCTAATAAATTTCACCAAATAATGAAACATAGCTAAACCTAATTTCAAGACTATTCAAGTTTGAAAGCTACTACGCTGATTTGCAGTCATTCAAGAATCTAACTGAAAGCAAGTAAACAAGCTACCTACATTTTTCACCAGTAATCTACAACATATTTTGAAAGCTATTTGAAAAATTTCTAACAAGAAATATTAGAATCTTTTTACAATGGTCACATTTTACTTAAATATTTTACTAAAACTAGATAGCTGAACTAACATTGTTGTGCTCCCGTCTATTTTTTTTTTAATCATACTACCTTATATAAATATACAGCACAAGGAAAAACGTGGCATTCCAGTCAGGAGCAAAAGATGCCTCATTAAATGGACTGCTTCACAATATTTTGCATTATATTGGATTTCATTAATCATTTTTAAATCAGTTCAACATTTTTTAGAAGCATTTTTTTTTAAAGCTGAAATGCCTCTGCATTACATTTCTAGGCTGCATTATTAGTATTAATTAAGTCTTACCCGCTTGTCCAGTGTTCGTTCTCTGACAAAATTAAGCAGGTGATCATTGACAAGCAAAAGATCTTTTTTAGCAGCAGTAACTATGGATACTATAACATCGTGCCTTATGGCCTCTTCAGGATCATGTGACCTTACTTTTAGATATTCTGCAAAAAAAAATAGAATAAGTATTTCATAGTAAGTATACAACTTCAGCTACTTTTCTTTCTCTAGACAGTACTCAACTGCCAAAAGCAGAAAACATGATTTTCTACTGTTTTGAGCATCAATGGTGAGAAATCACTAATTTTTCTCAAAGATTAACTGGAATGTCAGTACAACTTTTTATTTCCTTAGAATATCAAACATTTGTATTTCTGGCATTATGGAAATGAGTTATGGGGTTACATTTTTATTATTTGCTATAATGGCTAGGCTATGTCTACATTAGCAACTATTATAGCCAAACAGAACTGATCTGTAGAGTAGAACAGACAGTGCTAAGAACTTGATAACCACACTACATACATTTTAAAGTCTTACTTCAGGCTAGAGGCTACTCTCTTCCTGCAGACTCCATCCCCTTTGGCTGCTGGAGCACATTAGCTGTACTCCTGATCACAACTTCTGTATTATCCACAAGGAATCTAGTTCACATGCTCCAGGAACACTCCATAGTGTGAGCCATGTAAGCATTGTAAGTAGGGACAAATCAAGAGACATACTTCAAAAGCATGCTCTTTGACCAAGCTATAATGCTTATTTAGACATATCCTAGCTTATTCATCCCCAAACAATTTTTCTAGATTAGTTTCGTCCATTGCTACTTATCTGATAGCATCATTAATCTTATACTATCAACATTTTAAAAATTCCTGCTCATAAGCATCAAATGTTAGCTACCTATCGTCATTTTAGAAAGCTGACAAGTAACACGGCAACGTTCATTTATCTTTTAGAAGTATGTATTTGAGATTAATTTAGAAGTACGAACAGGTAAAAAAAACACACACAAGTTATTAACATGACTGTACGCAGCCCACATCACTGAAACATTGAGAACATTAAGAAACATTGAAAGTTCACTCTGAACGAAATAACCAGAGGCTACTGCTCTCTTATTACTGTTCAACGACCAGCGAAAGTCTCTTTCAAGTCTCATCTGAAACACTGGTCATTAACATTTCTGGTAATCAGCACAAGTATCGAAAGAGTACATCAAGAAATAAAGCTTTGCACTTAGGGAGGTTATGAAATTTGAAATCCAAACATGACCATTTTTAAAAAACAGATTTGTTCCACAGGAACACATAATTAAAACAAATGAAGAACAACGGCATTGCACAGAACAGTTCTGGTCTCAAACCCCAGCAAATCAGAGAAATATTTCAACAGTTTGACTTTGCTAAGCACTGTGGGGAGAGAGAGGAGGGGCAAGCAAAATTACATTTCCCGGAGGATACCATTAGAGGGGGCACAAAGTCTTTCTGCAATGTAAAAAGGGAAAAAAAGTCATTGAAAATACAATTCTGACAATCAAAGAGGAAATATCTTTACCATTCCATTATGGAAAGGTCTAGAAACAGTCTTATAAGCTGTCTTAACAACACCAGTAACTAGTGAATATATCTAGCCTGTCCAAATGCTCAATAAGCAGGAGAGAAATTCCATGCACTGAACTGTCCTTTAAATTTCCTCCTGAGAGCAAATGGACAAAGATATTACCTCCAAAAAATTACAAGAAGTAGGATTTTATTAATCCAAAGACAGTCTCCATATACACTCTCAGGGGAAAAAGACCCAACCCATTCTCTTTAATTACACTTTTGCCACTAAGACATCAGGACAAACACTAAGAGCTTCTATCTGTGCCAGTTGCCTTTTTCCTTCTTGAATTACAGGCTGTGTTTGAAGGAACAGAACCCAACGGCTGCGGTCGCAATTAGGAGCACTGTTTCTAGGTTTCAGACAGCGGCTGCATAATATTTACACACTTCAGCTTTGTGAGACTGAAGTGTTGCCTGGTAATTAATAAATGCTGTGGCCAGTAGGTTAGCTGCACTGTCTTTGCCTGATCCCATGGTGCTTAATTTCAGCAGCAGTTGGAAATGTGACTACTGTGAGAGAGGGAGAGCAGTCTCTTCAGTACAGGCATTCTTCACCTACAGCCGCCTCAGCCTGAGAAGCAGTACCGAGGGCAGGGACTGTCACTTACAACTCCAACCTCAGTTACATCCTCCACAACCTCTGACAACGTTAGGCAGGATTACAACTAACCTTTCTGACTTTCCCAGATATTAAAATTGCATTTTAATGTTATGATAAATCTGGTACCTGTTAAGTCTTTTGCTAGGTCAGGATGGTTCATAAGGCAGTGACTTGCAAATTTCACACATTCAAGACGAATAGGTACATGGATATCATTAAACCTATTTAGAAACAAGACAATGCATTACAACAGCAATGAAAAAAAAAAATCACTTCTATCATAGCAATTAGGTTTTTTTTATAGAATCTCAAATACCTCTGAATATATTTTTATGCTTCCCATGCACACTTACATGCATAAAACATCTCTGATTTCACAATATTAAGTAGACTGTAATTAGCTCAAGAAAAAGGTACTGTGCTCATTTATTAATGCATGTTCTGAACATAAAGAGAAATATCCTCTCCTAGTACACATGAAAAACTCTCAGGCACACAACTACTATTTATTAGGAATATGTCTGACATATTTAAACCATCTTTTCTATAATGCCTCACATAATTAACTGTGAACCATGTATCAGCAACTAAAAATACGACAAGACCGCGATATTTGCCCCCTCTTTAAACTGTACGACAGTGAGCAAATGGGCATCTAGCCTAGTACAATTTCCTTCTAAGACAGATCACTTCAACTTCTGTAAGATTTCTTTTCAAAAGAGCAAATTAAGTTGGATGCTTGAATAGTAGTATTTCATCACGCTTAATTTTGATCTAAGTAATTCTATAATAGCACTACTGATGTGATGAAAATTACGAACAACCCTTGAACAATTAAATGCATTTTCAAGCTATCCTGAAAATGCCTGGTTTTAAACCAATTAAAAACCAAATTTTAGAACACTGTCGCTGTTGAAATCCTTATTTATCAAACAGAGGTTTTAAGGAATAACTGTTTTAGTAAAAACCAGGTATGCTTTCAAAATCAAGAGATTTTAAGAATAGTTCCTTTAATAACACAGCTATTACAACTCAGTTAAAATCCTTGAAAAGAGTAAAAACATGTATGTGATTCACAGCTAGTTGAAAACAGTAATTATGAACAACAGATTGCACATATTGACATTGCTTCACATTGTAACCCAGTGAAGCATTTTCCTTTGGGCTCAATCAGATGTGGCCTTTTTTGATGACATGCAATGTTTTAAACATACATACTTTCAAGCAAAAGGCCTTCTTCCCTCAATTACATGTCCTGTAACTTTAGGAGCATTTCCTTGAGAGCTCTGGTTTTGATATGATTGAATGCTGAATTATAAACTAATGCTTTTGCAATAATTTATAGAATTCATCCTCACATCAAAAACATTTTCATCTTAGGAGCCATACTTAAGTCCTGAGTACAAGCTCTAGCTATATTTTCTATCTCAAACCAGCAGAATATTTCAAAACCAAAAGACTAGGTGTGTTTACGGTGTTCTACATGCCTCTTAAAGCACTCCTACCACACCAGAAATAACTGAAACCAGTACACAAACACTATACATAAAAGTCGTCTGATACTGCAAACGTCATTTGATGCCGTTGTAGAATTAGTCCATCACTGAACAGTTTAACTTGTGAAGAAATTGAATTAAACTATCCCTTTTTCTTGACAATGGCAATAAAGATAGTTGAGAAAAAAATGAACTAAAAGGGCACAACTAGTAATTATTCACTTTGCAGAATCACAGATATAGAGGATACTTGTAAAATAAAAACAATGTCTGTAGCATTATCTGTCATTTTTCAGATAAAGCAGCAGGAGGAAACTCACACTTAGTTGTGTCACTAAAAACAAATTTAAAAACCCAATACAATTAAATAACAAACAAACAAAAAACAACCACAACTTCACTGAATGTTTCCGCCTCCTAGGAAAGGAACTAAATCAGTATATACCTCCCCAGGTAGCACTGCCAAAGTGGTTTGTTTTGAGATGCCAACTCCGAGTCCTTTGCCCCAAACATTTTTGCTAGAAGTTTTACTACCTGCAGGCGTTCCTCGTTGTCATTGCTCTGGAAAATGAACACATTTTTTTAGAAATTATAAAAAAACCCACAAACCATTAAAAAAGAAAAATCAAGCAAAAAAAAAGAGTTCTCTTTCGTACACCTTCTACACCACTATTTTTATACACCTCTAGAAATATCATGATGCAGATGAACAGTCTCTTCTTGTATACGAATGCGTATCTCAAGACAAAAAACCTTCACTATAATTGGGAGTAGACAAAAGCCAGAGAAAATGAAAAAGTAGAGACAAAAATTAAACATGAACAAAGCCTGGTAGAAAATACATAGGTACGTACATGTTTTTAACCCTCATTTACGGGTTACTGATCCTGTTAGGAAATCTGATATGGGCCTGTATGAGCTGACACGAACCAAAGCATGACACAAAACCCGTAATACTCATTCCACATTTTTCTGCACCTAAAGGCTTGCACTTCTTTAGAGTAGTGTTTAAGTGAAAACATTTAGATAAAAAAGTCTTCAGGAAAGAAGTTTTTAGACACATTTTTCTGCACCTAAAGGCTTGCACTTCTTTAGAGTAGTGTTTAAGTGAAAACATTTAGATAAAAAGAAAAAAGTCTTCAGGAAAGACGTTTTTAGAGAACATCAGATTAAGTACCCAAGATTTGAGATGCACAGAATCTGGTCTTGGATTTTAAGCTTATATCTGAAAATGATTAGTTGCAACAGATGCTTTTTTTCACAATTAAAATTAGCACTAACAGAGATAAAACAAGGCCTTCTCCAGCATATTTTGAGCATCACTGATTCCCATTACACTTGTTCAATACAACACACAACATCTGAAGCTCAATACATGCTTTGGAAACATATAGTAACATCTGTGCAATTGACATGTACTTACTGCTCACTACATATTTTTTGTTTGCTTATTGAAGAAAAACAAAAAAAAAAGGACAACTGGCTGCTATGCTTCTTTGAAAAGGGAACAGCAAAAAAACCAGCTGATATTAACTAGATATTATTCATCCCATGTTATTTCAGTCTTTTTGGCTGGTGGTAAAGACAAGGACTGCTAAAAAGTAGTCCTTTTCCCAGCCATCTGTGAAATTCTGACTAGTCGACATTGCCTTTTGAATGTGAACAAGAAATAAGAGCACAATGTAGCTGTCAGTTCTCTAATACGACACCACAGTTTTGGAGATCAACTGGTTCTCCTTTCTGACTCAATACCATAAATGGGATGAAACGTTTGCGCTTTCGCCTGCACATGAGTGGGGGTGATCCCAGGCACAAATAGAGCCTGGCTGGAGAATGGCTTGAGAGCAGCCCTGCAAAGGAGGCCTTGGAGGTGGTGTTAGATGAAAAACTGAATGAGCCAGCAATGTGCAATCGTGGCCAAAAAAGCTCAATCCCATCCCAGACCACATCAAAGACAGTGTGGCCAGCATGTCAAGGGTGGTGATTGTGCCCCTCTGGTCAGACTCCACCTGCAGTGCTGTGTTCAGCCCTAAGGTGCCTAGCCTGAAAAGGCCATGGACCGGTTGAAGAGAGCGCACAGAAGGGCTACAAAGATGATCGGGGGCTGGAGCACTTCTGCTCTGAGGACAAGCTGAGAGTTGAGTTGTTCAGTCTGGAGAAGAGAAGGCTTCAGGGAGACCTTATAGTGGCCTACCAGTACTTAAAGGGGGCCTACAGGAAAGCTGGGGAGGGACTCTGCATCCATGAGTGTAGGAATAGGACAAGGGGTAATGGTTTCAAACTGAAGGAGGGTAGATTTAGAAGATTCAGAGGAAATTCTCTGCTGTGAGGGTGGTGAAACAGTGGAACAGGTTGCCCAGAGAAGTTGTGGATGCCCCCTCCCTGGCAGCCTCCAAGTCCAGCTGGGATGGGACTTCGAGCAACTGCATCATAGTTGTCCCTGCCCACGGCAGGAGGCTTGGAACTAGATGATCTTTAAGGTCCCTTCTGACCCAGGTCATTCTATGATTGTATGTCATATTCATTCAGTTCCCAATCCTTGAAGTAATAAAGCAAGAGAAGCTAAGGATGAAGAAATTCTAACACAACTGTATTTCTGCATTACAATATACTGTAACTCTTCCAAATACACTAAAGTATTAAGGATTAGCAGCATTAATATGTTTGTCTCTATTTGATTAATTTTTCTAACTAAAATTCAGATTGACATTACTGAAGGCCATCATCAACCTCCTACCCTTAAAATGCAATAAATTGTATTTTTTTTCCTTGACAAGTTTTAGCTTGTAAGTGTCCATTACACTATAAATTCTTATTCTGTGTCTTTATGGTTAAGAATTTCAAATTTTTTTAGCCTGTATCAGTCCAGCCTCCATTACACACATTCCATCCACTCATGCTTAAACCAACAAAATATTAAAAATATTATGCATCTCTCAGTTTCTCTAGGTAACCAACACAGACCCAGAGCAAGACACCCAGAGAGTGGGGAGGGAGGATGGGAGAGGTGTTGGGAGTTTATTTAACTACTTGATTACACAGCCAGAAATATAGGAAAAAAAAGAAAGAAAAGAAAGGCATTAAAAAAACAACCGAAATATCCTTAATGAATTAGCCACAGAAGAAGCTTTCACTGTATTAGCCACTAATTCAATTATTAGATAATCTAGTTATGTTTCTAGTTCTGTCTGTAGAAACAATGAATACACTTGATCCATAATTGCAAGTATTTGGTACTTTCTAAATTTGTGTCCAGGTGCTAGTTGCCTTGAAACATTCTGACATAAGATTCTAAAGGCCATAAAAATCAAACTGTATTACTCATTAAACGAATGCTGGAGTCTCTTTCCTTTGTTCTACTTCATTCTTGACTTCTTTTTGCAAGGGAAAAAATGAGTATCAAACTCAAAAAACATCTTAATCCTTCTCTATTTCATGAGACATTGTGTACTTTAAGTGTCATGTTTTTCACCTCTTTTCCTTAGGTATGATCCAGCATTTTTCATGCTTAATAGCGAACCATATATTTAAATTTCCCCATATAAGCTGCCAACATACAGGCAAATATTAGCATCCATTAGTAACAACAGCTGAAGTTGGTCAGGTTGTTATCACTGCAAAGCTCAATAGAAGAGGCAGCACTGCAGATCTGGGGGGAACTGGGAGTAAAAGTGGACGCATGACCCGAAACTTGCCAAAAAATCTAAGTACCATATGCAGGAAGAAAGACAGCTCTACCACAAGAGAAGTCAACATTTTATTGATTTTATTCATTACATCACACAGACCTAAGACCCTTTATGTTTATTTCATAAATATTAATGAGCTTTTCATTCTCCTGAACATTAAAATGGTATTCACCTTCAGTAGTACAAATTTCTAAATTTCAAATATCAAATGTGAGTGAAGGATTATCAGTTTCCTTTACAAGCTGACATACATAATATATTCTTATCTGTGTTCTCTCCTGCTGGAATAAACACTGGATCTCTAAACACACCGCCTTAAAATGCCAAGATCAGGCACAGAACTCAGGTTTACCCTCACAGAAGAAGTTAAATTCATTTCGGTGCATGTTCTCCTGCTAATCCCTCAGACCCCTTTTCAAAATTAGGTAAAAAAAAAAAAAAAAAAATCATAGTAATAATTACCAGTAAGAAGAAACCAAGAACTGACACAGCTCTCACAGAGTGTTAGAGTTCTAACATTACTCCTTTTCTGCCACAAGATAACATAGGAGTTCTTTCTTTACAAAAACTATAAAGGTGTGGTGGGTTGACCCTGGCCAAAAGCCAAAAACCCAGCCAGCCTCTCACTCATACTCCTCTCCTGTACCCAGAGGGAAAGGAGAGAAAATAGAAGGAAGGTTAAAAGCCTCATAGATCAAGGCAACAACAGTTCAACAGGTACAGAAAAAGCTGTGTGCACTAAAGCAAAAAGAGCAATTCATTCAGTACTTCCCACTGGGAGGCATATGTACCATCACTTCCCGGAAAGCAGGGTCCCAGCACAGAGAGTGCTTGCACGCAAAGACCAACACCATGAGCACAAATATCCCCCTCTTCTTCCTCCTTTCCCTGAGCTTTTCTTGCTGAGCATTTGTCCCCTTTCAACCTCCTGCCCTGCCTAAGCCTGCCTGGGTGGGGAGGCTGGGGAAGAAAGTCTTTACCTGTGAAGCACAGTTCAGCAACAGCCAGAACATTACTGTGCCATCAACACCGTTTTAAACACAAATATCAAGTACAGCACTATACATGCCACTACAAAGACCCAAAAGGATGGCTAGTTTGTCCACTTCTGCTTTGTACGTGAAACCTCACAGCACCCATCTAACTGCATTTCAACTCTCTTCTAACATACTTAAAAGATTCCTGGGATAGATAGAACAGGAAAAGCAACTAAGGGAATAAAACACACAAAAGCTGTACTTTTCAGAGGACATCAGTTACCATCAGCAATCTTTCATTTGTCATCCAACACGTACAAATCTCACAGCAGTTAAAATTACCTGACATCCTGATCAAACTGTATGGTCAGGTCTATGTTGTACCAAAATGGCAAGATGCTTGAACGCTAGGTGGCCACATTGTGAAAAACCAAAACAGTACACATGCAGCAACGTTACTAAGTCACCCAAGCTCTCTAACAAGTTCAATATTAACAGTTTCTTAATGACTTCATACATAGTGAAAAATTTATTTTGTCACTGACAAGATAACTCTTGGATTTTTCCCACGATCAGTGAGATCGCCTAGAACTTCCATAAGACCCTGATACCACAAAGATTAAAAAAAGAACACCCAAGAGGCCTCCTGCCACAAAGAGAGCAAAAGAAGTTCAGGGAGATGGAGCACAAGAGATACAAATCCTGTCAGGTAATGAGTCACAGACACACAGTCATTTGTTCCCATACCCAAACTCCTATCAGACACAGAGCCTGAGAACAAGACAGTCCAATCAATTGGAAGGCAGTGGAGACTGTTCACTGAAGCTCAGAATCACAGAATTATTTGAGTTGGAAGGGACCTTAAAGATCATCTAGATCCAACTCCTTGCCATGG